ACAGGTAGAAGGAGGCTCAAGTAACAATGGTTGAATTGAATTCAGCATCTCTAGAACACTACTAGTGTTAAATAAAAAAGTTTATCAGCACAATGTTTCAAATCCTAACACTACGTCTTCTTTCATTTGAGTTTTACCAAGGTCAATCAATATCTCTTCTTGCACCAACTAATTCCCACTACCCCATCCCCTATCTAAATTCTCCAAAAAAGTCTTTAAAAAGGCATTCTAACTAAATGGTAGAATGCAGTGACTGATTGAGCAAGAGAAGTAAAATAGGTCCTAGAAGGAAAAGTTCCAGCACATGACAGACCCGCAGATGACTAGTTTATGTTTGGTCCTAAGATTTCCAACACAGGTAACCACACAGCAACTCCTATATCGATTTTGCTTTTGAAATGGCAGTTAAGATACCAAAAGACAACCTGAAATTGAACTTTTATTAAATAACTGAAGTGGAGCTTTGACTGGCCTAGGCCATGGTGCGAACCTGCCTACGTGCTCTCATTACACAACCAGCAGTCCTATTAGACAAAGGGGCTCTTCTTGCTTGAAATCTATTTGCAATGACAAGAAGATGGCCTTTTAGGTGACATTCGTTAGGGGAGCCCAATTTTAAAATCAGGGTGACACATGATTTAAGTTTTAGCTGAATGAGATCCACTTTCTCCTTTGGCAGCAAATATTTTTTTTTCTATTTCCTGTATCAGATTTAATAGACAGTGAGCTAAACTATATGTGGGTTTATATCAATTTAAAATAATATACTTGAGTATTGATTGCAATATTAATATGCAAGAGTAAAAATACAGCTTTCCCAAAATGACTGCTGCAAAACATTGAGTGCATTATCTTTTAACTTTCTTTATTTTGATCTAGTTTTAATATTTAAGGAGGCCAAAATCTTGCCAGTGAGACTTTGCCAAGTAGAAAATAGATTAATTTATAGATTCCTGGTACAAAAGCCAAAATATTAGGTGCTCAGTGTTTCCTGAATGAATGAAAAAAGTTGCATATTTATGTTAATGACATTTAGTTTCTCTATCAATTTGAACTTTCCATAAAGATGAGCAAACATTCCTGAAGTAGAAAAAGGAATGTAGCCACAAATTAATACTAAAAATCACAAAAATATCCATTTTAAACAAGGCAGTTAATCCTAATAGCTCCAGATAAACATTGCAAAAATGTCTTGTTAAAATTGCTCTAGTTGTTCAACACACAACTCGTTTCCCATTTATAGAAGGTTGATTCCATCTTTAAGAGAATAAGAGTCTCTCTCCCACCTAGTCTCCAAATTCAAAATAAGACTTTGGTGATTATTTCAATAATACATCAAATGCGTGTCTTTTTCTATCAAGTCGATAGATGGAACATTCCCTCTCCCTTCCCACACTCCAGCACCTGAATGAAATGAAATTCCCAGTGCTGTCAGCATCTGGCTTCTCCTCAAAGGCAAGGCCATAAACGACTGTGTGCCCCACAGGAAGGCTGCTCCAATCTTCAGCTCAAAAACTGTAAGGAACGACTCTGGCCCCTGATGAAGACAATTGGAACAGAAACAGGGGACATGCACCACTGGCCCCAGAATCTTTCCACTAACAGATTTCCTACTTACAGAATTCCTTAAAAGGATCTCTGAAAATAATCTGGGTTAAGTCAAGCAAGTGTTGGGCTGGCCCCGTGGCTTAGCGGGTAAGTGCGCGCGCTCCGCTGCTGGCGGCCCGGGTTTGATCCCGGGCGCGCACTGGCGCACCGCTTCTCCGGCCATGCTGAGGCCACGTCCCACATGCAGCAACTAGAAGGATGTGCAACTATGACATACAACTATCTACTGGGGCTTTGGGGAGAAAAAAAAAAAAAAGACAAGTCAAGCAAGTGCAACTGAAGACACCTTTGTCACAAGCTTACGGATGTTTCTAAGGTATTTTAGGGAGCGAATTTTCACATTTTTGTCTGGTACTGGAGAGAGGCACAGTCTATAAAAACTTGAGCAACAAAACTACGATATTTAGAATCTAAACTTCTATTCATACTCTTTTTTTTGCGTAAATGATAAAGACTAAAGTTACGAATCTCTACCATCCAAGCTGAAGTACTGTTCTCTGAGCAGGAAAAACGCCTATGCTGATGCACAGACAATAAGATGTGGGATATGGCGTTAAACCTTTTGAAATGTACCACGTGATCTCCACCTGGAGCTAGGAGGCTGCACCAATAACGGGATCATAACAGCTGTGGGGAAAAAGGAACTAAAACTACCGTTGACTTTGAACACAGCCACTCAAGAGAAAGAAAAAGTCTGCTAAAGCAACCATCACAACCACCACCACAATCGCGCCCCCCCCCAAAAAAAACAAAGCCAGGTACTTCACAGGAGTAAAAATCACAAATTCCATAATCTTTGTTAATCCTGGAGTGCCTTCATATTCCAACCAGTCCCATATATGACACACTTATTAACACCCTCAAGAAGAGAGTAAATGCATTTAAAGTAACAGGCTCTTCGTTTTTGAGACACTTGCAATGTTAGAAGTAAATGACAGCATCAGGGTGTGACTGTGATATCAAGAAGTCTAGAAGAATATGGTCAACCGTGGAATTCAGTGCGACACCATTCGATGAGGTCTAGTCAGTATTAAGGTTAGACAGCCTGTGTTTATAATTAAGTAGTAATGGCTGAAGCTCGAGGTACACAGGGCATTTCCTGGGGATTAATGACCAGCTTGAGGAGTTGACGACCCAAAGCAATGCCTCGGGCCAGTAACCCCGGCCAGTCATTAATCCCCAGGAAATGCCCTGGACCTCAATCGCTACAGTGATCTGAATAAATACAAGAGGAAAAAGTTTAATATCAGCTTTCCACTTAAACTAAACATCCGTTTCATACTTGGAATGCTCAGACTTCACAAAGTGAGTTCTACAGGAGTTACTAAAGAGTTCCCTTAAACTTCTTAATGCTGATAAAAAAAATTTTACTCTAACATAAATGAAAAGCTGACTATTAAATATGTGCAAAAAGAACAACTTTTGTAGTGTTTTAACTACAAGGGACTTAGCTAAGATAATGCTTGAGAGCCATAATAATACAACCAACATACATACACTCAAATCTCTATTTAACTTGGGAGTTACCGGATAGTAACTCAAGAATAAAAAAAAGAATCAGTATTCAGGTTTATAGAACGGATTTATCTCAGGGAAAATAATTTACCTCGGTTAAAATAAAAGACTGAAATAGTAATTGCATTCCTTAGAACAAAATAAAACCAACTAAACAATCCCCCTTCATCTTTTGTGGCTCTTTAGTAATGATTTTATATGACACTGGTGTCAAGAAACCAGCAGACAGATGCCAGCAGACAAACTGTTCCATTATTATTCCAAGCCGATATACACTTTAATAAACTTTCTTAGGCTTTTAACTCTTAATTAATCTGGTGTTACTCTAAACCAGGACATTTTAAAGGTTTTTACTTTATCAGAAGAATGTGAACATTTATTTTTGCTTTCAAAGAAAAAGCAAACCCAAATTCTCCAAAGAGGAGAAAGAATTCTCTCCATCCTTAAAACTCCCTAAAACCACCTCGCAGTCTGTCAGAAATGTACTACTCACACTGGAAGTACAGAGACACACAGCCTGCAGGTCTTGTGTATTTTAGAGAACCTGGGTGTTTATATGACCATTCACAGTCCCTTTCTTAGTTGGCCTTGAGGCTTGCTGATTAGCTAGTAAACGTTTGAAAGGGTCAGTGTGTCCAGAACTGGAATTTCCACTTTGGAAAAAAGCACAGAGGTACACGACATCTGTTCCTTGAAGGGCCTGCACTACACCTCCGACTTACAGTCAAAATTCCTATGCTGCTTGGTGGCAGGGAGGTCAAAGCTGTAAAACCTCCAGTGGCTACTCCCGCCTGCAGAACAGAGCACAGTCCCCAAAGACCTCTGCTTTCTGTCTCCTAAAGAAGAGTATCCAAAAGATGAATATAATTTTCATAATATGCATATCTTCCTCTAGGAAAAAATAGTAAGACAAGCAAGTAAGAGAAGATGAGATTGAGCCCCCAATCTTGACCTAGAATTTGGTACTGCTTAGAATTAAATAATTTTAATGTTAAACAGCTCCCTTATTTTTAATGAAGACACTGAAGCCCACAGAGGTGAACTGATTTGTCCAAGGTGGCTCAGCTTCTGAGCCAGCACTCTTACTTTGGTGTTCTTAATACTCTACCGTGCTGTTTGTCTTAACTGATTGTCTTCCTAAGTCTTATCTGCCCCCTAGATGGTGAGCGTCAGCGGGTAGGGAAAGACAGCACTGTTCCAGCACCCACAGTGCTGGGCACCACAGGGCTTGTGACACTGGGAGCCTGGCTGGTAGTGCAGATACCACCTTTCCATCTAATAACTTTAACAAGTGAGGTTAGTTTACAGAAACTACATCCCAAACGTCACTTTACCTTCAACTACAAGTTACAGTATAAACTGGCACTCAGCTGCCAGTCTCTGCACAACTCACCCCCTTACAGGAACTGGGATTGGCATGTTTTCTTTTTAATAATTTATAACTGTTTTTCTACTTTCATAAGTTATGGTGAATATGTAATAGAGTATTTTAATGGTTACTTTATCCAAATATATTTTAAGTAACTGTTTCACTTATACCTACAGTATACCTGCACTCTCTGCCTTATAAAACTCATGCGTTCAAGGGAGAGAGGCTGCGAGCGTTCAGCTAACCCTTTTGTTCTGCGAACTTGCAAGTTTTCAGCGTTACTGCGCAGCGGTGACTGTTAGGTAGCTTGCCCTGTCACATTTTTTAAGGTTAGGTGTAAACTTTCCTGAAAAGCACCCAGAGTTAAGCTTCTAAGAGTGAAACCAAATCCGATTCAGTGTATTTGCTGCTTTTAAAAACTTCCCCCCAACACAGACCTGCATTAGCACAAGTTAGTCTCGAAGTGGTACCAGAGAAACATTTCATGCATAGAGTTTGGTTTGGTTACCTGGGTGGGGGAAACAATAGCAGGTGAAACTATTGTGGGAGAATTGGTGCTTCTGTGCCCATTGGCTTCTGGAAGAAGAGGCAGGGGGTCGTGTTTCACGGAAACCACCACCACCGCATCCACAGGCTCCGAGGGGCGGATACAAAGTCTTTTGGGGGAAGAGGGGCCGCAGATTTCCCCTGACCCGAACACCGACTCGTACAGGGCGCGCTTGGGCGCAGCCTCGGATTTCACGTCGGGCCCGACCTGGCTGTCTTTGGGGAGGATGTAGGTGTTCCCCAGCGAGGGCGGCTGGGGGCGGTGGTGGTGGGAGGGATGGGTGGGGGGGTGGTGGGAGTGGTGGCGAGCCGCCCCATTCAGAGCCTCAGTGTAGCAGCCCTGCGGGGCGGGCGAGCCCAGTTTGGTGCCGATGCCCGCGATGCTGTTGAGCGTGGCGATGGAGACGGCGCCGATGCAATGGTTGGTGTAGGTCTTGGAGAGCTTGGCCGCCTTAGAGAGCATCTGCATCCTGGTACCCAGCAAGTTCTTGCCGATGGCTTTGTTCTCGTACCAGGTCACATCGCCCTCGCTGCAGTGGTCCCGGGGCCGCTGGAAGAACGCCTTGCAGAGGGGGTTGCGCTTCGACAAGTACTTGACGAAGCTGGCGTAGGGGCAGAACTCGGTGCCGGTCTCGTACATGCGGGGCAAGTTCTCCTCGTCGCTGCTCTCGGCGCGCTTCTTGCTCCACGACGACGAGCGCGACTTGTGGTAGGGCCCGAGGGATTTAAAGTAGACGAACTTTCGGCCGTCCTCGTCCATGGCCAGCCCAAAAGAGTCCTCCTCCAGCTCGCGCTGGTTCTCGCGGCCGCGCGTGCAGAAGTACATGCACGTCTCGAACCAGACCTTGTTGAGCAGCCCGAAGGGTGTGTTGGTGCTGAAGACGCTGGAGGTGTAGAGCTTGCGCAGGTCGGCGCGCGTGATGGCTTGCTTCTGCACCACGGGCCCGGCGCCCTGCTCCTCGAGCTTGCGGATGACCGCGGCCAGCGTCAGGTTGGCGCTGCGCAGCTCGGGGTCCTTGGTGAGGTCGAGCGTGCGGCAGTACGGGGGCTCGTTGAGGTAGCGGTTGAGGGAGCTGCGGATGCTGATGAGCGACGACTTGCTGTAGAGCTGGCCGCTCTTGGAGCGGGCCTCGGCGTAGAAGGAGCGCAGCACGCGGCACAGCGCCCCCTTGTCCATAGTCTCGAAGTCCGGGCTCTGCGCCTTCTCGCTCAGGTACTCCCGGAAGATGCGCACGGCGTAGCGGGTGGCCAGCCGGGTGTTCTCGCTCAGCCGGGCCCGCTCGGGGCGCTGCAGCACGTCGGGGTCCAGCTCGGCGCCGTCCCCGGGCGGCCCGCCGCGGGCCCGGGGCGCCAGCAGTCGCGGCGGTGCCTCGGGCTCCAGCGCGGCGCTCTGGTCCATATTGATCATATGGACCGGCTCCGGCTCTAGCTCCTCCCCGGCCGAGTCCTCGGGCTCTAGGGGCTCGTCCCAGTCCAGCCCCATCTCTTCCTCCTCCTCTTCCTCCTCCTCGTCCTCCTCCAGCCCCCCACCTCCGTCCTCCTCCTCCTCGTCCCCCGTTATCTGCACCTCCTGGATCTCGTCCTCCTCCTCCTCTTCCTCCTCCTCGTCCTCCTCCAGCCCCCCACCTCCGTCCTCCTCCTCCTCGTCCCCCGTTATCTGCACCTCCTGGATCTCGTCCTCCTCCTCCTCTTCCTCCTCCTCCTCGCCCGCGCTGCAGTAGTGCGGGCGGCCGTGGCGGCGGCCGCGGCCCCCCGCACCGCGCTCGCCCTCGCCCCGCTCCCCATTGTTCTCGGCGGCGGCGGCGGCGCTGGCGCTGCCGCCCGCGCTGGTGTTACAGTCCCCGCTGCCAGGCATTCTCGCCATATTGCCGTCTCTCTGCCAGTCCTCGGGCAGGGCGCATGCGCTATATTGGACCGCAGCGCTGAGAGCTTTTGTGTTTAATGACCTTCAGCTACCGGGAGGCAAAGCCGGGCTCTTAAAGGAGCCGCGCTCCAATTGTCAGTTCGGAGCGCTGCTCCGGAGGGGCAGCGGTGCGCAGGGGATGGAGGGGAGGCGGGGGTAAGTTAGACAGGGAGAGGGTAAGAACGGAGGCTGGCTGGACGCTCTTCCTCTCCCACCCCTCTCCCCGCTCCTAAGAAAACTTTGAAGGGGAAAAAAAAGGAAGGGGAGGGAGAGCTGTCGGTGGGGGTAAAACACTCCCAACTTACCCTCTGGCGGAGTGGCGCGCGGGCCCGGGCGGGAGAGAGGGAGGGCTGGCGGGAGGGCGGGGCGGTCTCGCTTCTCTAAGTAATGCCCGAGGAGCAGTGCCCCTTCCACCGCCCCCTCATTGCCCCCCGGAGCCGGGGGTTCGAGGAGGCGGCTGCGCCGGGCGGGCCGCGGGTGCTGCTTCGAGAAGCCGGTGTCTGGGGCCGCCCGGAGCGGAGCGGAGCAGGCAGGTTAATGAGCAGGGTGGAGGAGACACGGCGAGGCCCCGCACCCTCTCTGCGCCCGCGGCCAGGGCGCAGCGGGCGAGGCTTGGGAGCGGGATGGGGCTGGCGGCGGCTCCCCCACCTACTTGCTGGCGGCGAGGCGCGGAAGCCTGGGGCCAGCCGCACGGCTCCCAGCTCCCTTTCCGACTCTTGCAAAGGAGCGAAACACGCCCCACGTCAGCCTCATCCCTTTCGACTTTTCCATCAGGCACTTTTAAGCTGTCATTAAAGACCTGAGGCGCTCCCCGTAGGTCCGGGGCAAGTCCGCGCCGGTCCAGCCAGCCTGGGGAAGGAGCGAGGAAGAAAGACTGGGAGGGGCGGGTGGGAGGAGAGACGCGGGAGAGGCGCTCGGGACCCCAGGGACCCCTCCCCACCCGCCCAGGCCACCGCCCTCCTTGTCTCGGAGCAAACTGACACAACTCCCTCTGGCGAGGCGCTCCACCTGGTTGGAGCTAGAGCAATGCCCCTCTCGTCCCTAATGCCCGTCGGGCGGCCGGGCGGACGGAAAAAGTGAACTTGGGTCTCGGCCGCCCCCGCCTCCGCCACAATTCCGGCAATTCGGAGCTCCAGCGCGTTCTCGTTCCAAGTTTGCCATCCGCCATTCGTTCGCCCTCCGGGCTGCGCTGCCTCCGGCACGCGGGGGCGGACACCTCTGAAACTGGAAAGGCGGCCTAAGAGCTCGCCGGGTCCCGCTTTCCCATAGGAGACACTGTCCCACTTCCAGCCAAATGCCCGCCCCTTGCGCGCCCAGGCTCTGGGCGCGTCCTCGCGTCGTCGCCTCCAGCTCTCCGCGCCCAGGGGCAGCGCCCCCAGAGCCGCCAGAGACTTTGGCTGTGTCCTTGGGAAGGACAGCCCCGGCCACCTCCGGAGCTCTCACTGCATCCTAACTTTATCCTCCTTGGGTAGCCTGAGTGTGCCCTGGCACGCTGGCCAGCTCAGAATCCCAGAGGCGAGGGGAACCCACGGAGTCAGGTCCTCGCAGCGCGTCCCCGGGCTGGGGCGGCCCTCCTGGGAGGCAGCCTCGCCAGCTCCTCGAGTGCGTCCTCGGATTTGCATCCGAGTACGAATTCGGCAGTTCGGCTGTGGGAGTCTTGTCAATTGCCCGTTTCCTCCTCCCAGCCCTCCGTCTTACTTTCAGGGCAGTTTATAATTTTACGCATCAATAGAAGCCCATCAGTCAATTTGTAATTAAAAAAAAAAAGAAAAAAAAAAAGGAAGGAAGGAAGACTATGTCTCTGGGCCGCGTGGGCGTCTAAGTGGGAGCACACGATGTCTCCCGCAGCGATCAATCCTCGCCCTCCGCGTGCCTCTTCGGCCCTGGACGCCGCGGAGCGTTGGTGAAATCGCGCCAGGTGTGAACAAGTTAGAGCAAGTTCCTGCCTCGCGGGCCCCCTCCCTCTCCTCGGGGAAACACACACACACACACTCGCGCGCGCTCTCATCTTCCCTGCTCTCCACAGAGAGCCGTCTCGGGAGGCGAAGAATCAGGAGCTTGCACTCCTCGGGAACCGTCCCCGAGGTGCGGCCGGCTTTGTTCAAATGCACTGCCCCCCGGAGATATGCAGAAAGGCGTGTTTGTTTCTCAGAACCCAGGGCAGTACGCAGCTAACTTAGTTGCACACGCGGACCCGCGCACACGATCTGGCACACACCAGTCGCACATGGCTACTTCCGGAGGGCTGGCCCTTTGTCCCGGGATGCTCCCAGGTTTTCCAGCCGCCGGAACGGCCCGGTGGGGGAATTTCAGCGGTGCTGAGATCTCAGGTGGGCGCCCAGCAGGTTACCTACCAGGGGCTGCTCCCCGGCGGCCCTCACCGCAAACGCAGTGAACTCGCGGGCCGCGCTCGCTCGGGGCTGTGCTCCCGGCTGGGCCTGGGGATTCAGACCCACGCTCCACCAGGAGCAGGGCCGCTCCCTAGGTCTCCCCACTTCTGCGGGAGGCCGGCCCCCCCCCCCTCCCTACTGGGCAAGCTGCTTTGAATTGCTCGCAATTTGCCGGAGGCGGTGTGCTGGGTTGGACGCTCCGGGAAACAAAGCAACCAAAAACAGCTCCCAGTTGACGTCAACTTATTTCCAGAAAATAGTTTTGTTCTCCCGGGACAAAATACCCCCCAGGGCAGGTCTCTACTGGCATAAGCCAGGGGGCGGGGGTAGGGAATAGCAGAACCAGAAAACCCCAAGCGCAAATACCTTTTTAACGGACTTGGAAAAACAACAGCTTCAGATGCTGCCTGGACAATTTGCAAACAACGGGCGGGACCTCCGCTAACATTAGATATGAAAAACGCACCTTGGGAAGTATGCCTTGGCCTGATTATCGGGGGACTGTGAATCTGCTTCGTGGCACCAGCTCTTGAAACGCTACCAAAATTCTTTGCCCATGATACTTCATCAAATGCTGGAAAAGACCTCTTCATGTTAGTACCTACAGTATTTACCAGGAAGAACACCCAGAAAAACCAAGCAGTTATAAACCCTTTTTCCCTCTCCTGACCAAGGGAAAAATGTTATTTAATTTTTAAAACTCAATAACACAAAATTACAATCGAGTTCATAAAGGAGTTCAACTCCAGGTTTAATAAATGATCCCTTAAAAACATCCCATGGTTCCATACACTCAATTCCAAATTGAGAGAATCAAAAAAGCTTTCCTATTATTATTTTGGTAGAGAGGCAATATTGGTTGTCTTCTGCTTCTCAGCCCAGCCCAGCTTCCTCTAGTTTGATTTTGCCCCGTCATGAAGTCCATTCAGCCCACCATTTACAACTGACAGCTGCCTGTCACTCCTTTGAAAGGATGCTTTATTTCTTGTGCAGAATGCATAGCTTCTTTATATAAAAATGATTCCACTGCTATACGGTACATGTATTGCAATTATTGAACTGTCAGAACTCTTTACTGTAAGCTACCCTAAGATGTTGACAACTTCAACAAGATGCTCCATGTGTTTTGTCTCTGTCATCTTCATTATAAAGTACCATTTATATGTTTGTGCTTCTCTGTTTCTTAGATTACTTGAAAGTAGTGACATGGTTATTTTAGAAGGAAAAACTACAAATGTTTCTCCCTCGTTTTATAACCCATCTACTCCCATTTCAGGTTCACACTTTATGAAAGGTTATGCCATAAAGAAACATATTCAGCTCTTCTTCCTCCTCTTTGCTTCCAGTCTTCTGAGCATCATCTGTTATATAATCGATGTAGTTGCTTTTTATCCGCCTATTTCCTCTACTAAACCAATATACCTTTGTGGTTTATGCTGGTGCCTGGGACATGGTGAGCACTCCAGTCCTTTCTCTTGAATGAATGAATGAATGAATGAACAGGATCTGTGTTGAGTTAAATCCTATATTCAGCAAGAAACTTTTTTTGTGAAAAATCTAAAATATCATGGATCTGAATTTCTATATTAAAAACCAGGACAGAAAGTAAGTACAAGCCAACATTATTGTTTGCAAGTTAAAATGAATATAATGACTGCTTTGGTTTAATACATATTTTCCCACCACTAACTCCCTCTCTAGTGGTATGTGCTGTAGGAAGTTATTGCAGAAGTAGAGGGAGGGACCAGGGAATGGAGATATCTATGTATTAAGAGAGGTGGGTTGGGGAGGATTTAAATTAATAAATTCAAGGAATCTTTCGGGCTTTTAGGTCACTTTTTAGTTCATCATTTTTAAGTTATGCTTTCTTGATTTTATTACTGAAAGATTCATAAAGAACTTTGGAGGTTAAATATGAATTCAAATTGAAGCTATTTTGACATATCTTTGTTTCAGTTTCACTACTAAATTCTGTTGAATTCACTTGGAGATCATCTTAGTTCAAAAATGTTTTTCTGAACTCAGATGAAAATAGAACCCATGTAATCTAACTCTACAAAGTGAAAGAAAAGAAAACTCCACAAGAGCAGAAACTGTGTCTTCTGTATTATTGCATTTCTGGTTCATTTCCAGTACAGCTCCTTAGCATATTTTAGCAGAATGGCTGGTACATAGTAGATCCTCAATAAACATACAAATATTTATGTGTGGGGAGAGAGCTAACCCCCACAAAAGGTTGTGTAGCAGAGTGGTTAAAAGCTTCATCTTTGAAACCAGACTGCCTGAGTTTGAATCCTCATTTGGCCTTACCAGCCGCCCTTTTCTATGTCTTGGTTCTCTCATTATCTAGATGGTAATAATAATAGCCCCTATCTCATAGAATTGTTGCAAGAATTACATAAGTTAATATGAGTAAAGTATGTAATACCGTGTCTGGAACATTAGTAAACATTCAACTATCAGCTCATTTTTTTTAAGGCTGTAATACTTTCCAGGCTTGACTGTAAATAAGAAAACCAAGGCCAGAGAAGCTGACAAAGGTTAAGCCACTTGCCCAAGGTCTCCCAGACCTCAGTAGGGCAAGAAAGTTTGTCTCCACAGCCCACACTCGAGCCACTTGACCACATTCAGCTTCTAGGAACCAAAGAATGAAAAAAAAAACTTCAAGGGAACAATTCCCTACCATTAAAATACTTCTGTGTGTCATTTGATTTGAGAATCTTGCAAAGCCAGAACAGAACTAAGCTGAGGCCTTTGACTGTGAGCACAGCAGAAATGGCCTAACAAACAGTGTCACCTTTGTCACTTAGCCACATAAACCACTGGTACTATTTTCCTGGGCTATTGGAAGTA